AGTCAAACTTGCCCTCACCTTCGATGTTCTTCACTTTGAAGATGTCCTTGAACAAGATGTTGGTCATAGGGAACCTGGAGGTGTACTTGATGGAGCAGGCTAACTTTTAGCATTTCAGGCCACTGCTAGAATCAGGGTCCGCTCACCAGACTTTTAAGAATAGAATGCACAGCTGTCTGGGAAAGATAGGGACCGTCACACACAGAGTCAGGAAGGCAGAGATGAATTTCCAGAATTAGATGACTCCTTAAATCATTACAGCTTGAGATATCTGTATTAATCCATTCCTCTATTATAAGCTGAAAAGATTCTTTCCATCCTGAAAGCTTCCCTCTGTGTCTTAACCCAATTAGCACCAAAGGAAAGGCAATAAAAAAAGTTCTTCAAAAAACAGAGTTGAAGTGTTGGAATTTTCCTCCCTTCCTTGGTCCTAAAACCTTCTCACCTCAGTTCTAGGGCTGTCCAGGAGCTATTTGGACTTTGTCTCAAGAATCAAGCTAGATTGTTGTGGATGTCTTGCAACACTGGAAATGTCTGCCCAGCTTCTCTATCAATATTTTTCCACCCCTTGCTGCTCACGTAGTACTGGAAATGTGAAGGGAAATGTGATGAAACACATTTCTGGCTATGGCATCTGACTGTGTTCTTCTTTGACAGCTTTTAAGTATTTAATCATATAATGCTTTGGGGCACCTTGCAAGGCAAGTCACTCAGGTAACAGCCCCCTCAGTTTCACGGAATCTGTGCATCCTTAAAACCAGAATTCATCAGCCCTTACCAATGTGTTTTTCATTAGCAGCCAGAAGACCCAGTTAGTCCAAAGCAAAGTCACTTAATGAAATGTCATGGGAAAAAAGTGGCAACAAAAAATTTCTACCATAAACCTGGATTGTTCTCTCCCACAAACATATGTGACATTAGTGGAAAGGGTGGACATGTAGAGGAGGTCACACATAAAGAGCACACATTCAGATCACATGTGTGCAATCACCTCTTAATTCTTTCCAAGCTACTTATCATTGGTATCATCGTGTTACTGTGATGGAGGTTGCTACCATACTCATGCTGTCTGCTGGGTAGGCCTACTCCCTGCTTGTTCCATAATTTCTGCTAAGTGCTTGTGCAGCCACAGGCTGAAAAGCTTCCAAGGAGAAGCAAGTCATCACCTCTCGAGGTCACCATTCCGCGCTAGGGCGGTTTTAGTGGTTAGGAAGTTTTTTGGAACATCAAAGCCGAAATTTGCCTCTTTGTATCTTCCACTCATTGTTCCAAGTTCTGCTATTTGGGGGCAAGGTCAGATCCCTCCTCCACGACAGCCTTTCAAATACCTGAACACAGCTATTCCAGATTCCTTTAACTAATCTTCATATATCATGAGCTCAAGGCCCTTTGCCAGCCTACTTTCCTTCCTTTGGGCACTCCTTAACTTATCAATATCCTTCTTAAACCAACATGCCCCGAACTGAGTGTCGTACTCCAGATGGGTCTGATAGAGCAGAGTACAGTAGAATTATCACCTCCCTCTTCCTGGAAGTTCTGATGCTCCTAATGCAGCGGAAGATGACATTAGTTCTTTTGGCTGCCATGTCCCACTACTGATTCTTCTTGAGCTAGCAGTCTGCTTAAATCACCAAGTCTTCTTCTGAACAAGTACCATCTATCTATGACTCTCCTGTCTTATATTGGTGGAATTGATTTTTTTCATCCCTTGCTGTAAGATCCCCTATTATCCCTATTGAATTTCATCTCAATAGATTCCATGTAATGCTCTCCAGGCTCTAGAGTGTTAGCTGTTCCTCCCAACTTTCTTAGCTGAAAACTTTGATTGGCATACCACCTATGCTGTCATCTATGTCATTGACAGAAATGTTAGTAGAGTTCCCTGGTGTGCTCGGCTGGAGCCCTCCTGCCATGGTGACATTGAACCAGTAACAGCTACTGTCTGGAATCTGGTCATCCAACCAGTGCTCAGTCTATCTGATTGTATTCATATCTGGTCCCCATCTCTATCTTCTTCACAAGAACACTAAGATTTTATCAAAAACTTTACTTAAATCTGTGTAGACCATATTCACAGCATTTCCCTAAGATATGATTCTGTAATGTGTATACAAATGTACATGTGTTTATATATAAATATTATCTGTGCATGAATATCATGCATCAATAGGTCAAGAATCTGCTTTTTTCATTGTGTAAATTGATTCTGTTTCACTATCAGTCTATAACTTAAGAGATAAGTCTTAGTGGCTAAGGCTGAGAGATACTGAGTGACTTGCCTGTGGTCATACAGCTAGTAAATGCCAAAGGCAAGGTTGGAACCCTGGTATTCCTGACTGCAAGTCCAGCCTTCTTGACTCAGTGCGGCTTCTCATTTTTTCATGTAGGTATACATGTATCCGCCTTAAGATACCAAGCATTATTTGTGCAAGGGAGGCTGGGGAATGGTTTTCTTTAACAGCATTTAGAAGTAGAAGAGATGTTTATCTTTGAGTTTCCAAACGCACAGGGAATTCCTGCCTTTGACATTCCTCATGCTTGGAATACCCTCTTTTCACTTATGTAATTACTACCTAGCCTTCAAAGCCCAGTTCAAGCTCGATTTTCTGTGTAAAATCACCGGTAGTTCCATAGCTCTGTGATAGCTCCCTCTTCTGAGCTCTGATCTCCAGTCTGAAGTTTGGAACTTCAGTCTCTGAACTCTGAACTCTTCTGAACTCCAATCACACTTACTGTTTGTAACAAACTCTGGGCACTTTGTATATACTGTTTTGTGTTGCCATTTTAATATGTGTATCTACTGTCTCACTAACCAAGTTGTAAGTTCTTTGAGTGTCCAGGCCATGTCTAAATCCCCAGTCATTCATTCAACAAGCATCAGTTGAATGCCTGCTATGTAGAGAGCATCAGTCCAGGCCCCTAGCACGGTGTCTTGCATATGGAGCAACTTAATAAATATTTGGTGACATGATGATTCAGTGATGACGTGGTAGACACCTTATAGATCTACAGCAAAGTTACAGAACGCAGCTTTCACTACCTGAATAGTTAGTTCTATCTCATTGTTTCTTGTAGTTGTATGCTAATTGGACTTCCCTGAAATGGGAAGTTACTGGATTCTCTGGGAGTCTGGACTCCATGGAGCATTTCACATTGGTGTGAGGGCTGCAGCATCTTCAGAAAAGTATATATCATTCAGTGTGTATCATGTTGGCTCTTTCACAACGTGACCCAGTTCATAGCAAATGAGTCCCATGCCTGGGACTCAGTGCTTGGGTTCAGCAGCTGCCTCTGTCTCCCCTGCTCCCCAGGAGAGCCGGAAGCTTCTCCTCTGGGGCCCTAGAGCCACTCCTTCCCAATTAGAAAGAAATTGGCTCCTGTGACATCGCTGTGATTTCTTCCTTGTTAGAGCCTTAATATTGTATGAATCATAAGTGTCATCTCAGTCTGTGAGGCTGTTGGGGTCAGAGCCGTGAATTAAACAACACAAAGTCCTGATTGTTCCCATCGGGTAGAAGCTGAGGGCAAGTGAACATGTGTCATTGTCTTGTCTCTGGTGAGGAGAGCAATACCAGGGCTGCTGATCTCATATCCTTTCTTCAGAGCTCTCCGCATTGTTACCAACCTGGCATCAGTCTAGTCCTGGACAGTGGGTAGGCTGAAATTATCTATGTACTCTGCCTCATAGATTCCCTGAGGAAGATTTCCTAGGACCCCTGGCTATCCAGAGGACATACATAGCTATAACCCAGAAGTGATCGATAAAAATTTTCTAATTCCCCCAATGTCCAGCTAAATCTTACCTCCTCCATTCATTCATCAAGTACTTTGTAAGCACCTACTATGTGCTAGGCACTGTGCTGCTAAGTGTTGAGGATACAAAGAGCTTACATTCTATTCATAGAAAACAAAATGTATACAGCTAAGGAAGTAGAAAGTAATTTCTGGTAGGAGGCCAGTAGTGGCTGGGGGTATTAGAGTAGGCCTTGTGTCAGAGAAGGTGGATTCTGCTAGGTGGAGATGAGGGGGCATTGCATTCCAATCAGGCAGGCAGGAAGAAAGGAAGAATTTTATTAATCACTTACTATGTGCAAAGCATTGTGCTGAGCACTAGAGATACAAATAGAAAAGTAGGACTCTCCCTGATCTCAAGGGGCTCCTTCCAATAAGGAAGACAACACATCAAAATTTTCAGCTGCAAGTCAGAAAGGTCCAACGGTCCTTAGGGTGCAGCGGCAAAGCAGATGGTGACACATCTTCTTTCAAGTCATTTCCACTGATAAAATTATGTCACTTTCTGATGTCAGTTGAACCATTTGACAGTGCCAAGGACTTTGATGGCCAAAACTTTCTTTTCTGGGTCCTCAGCAGCTGTGACAATAGCATCTACAGGAACAGGTACCTGGCTGCATGGTGGACACAGAGAACATCCCTCCAACTACTCTAGTCCATCATAGCAACCTCTCCCTCCTCTCACTTCCTACTGCCTGCACCTCATGTTAGGTGACATAGGCTTTTCTGTTCCATGTGTGTAAAACTTGTCTCCCAGAAAACCAGGTTTGTAAGCTCTTCACAAACAGGGACCTCATCTTGTACTTCTCTTGTCTCTTCTCCAACACTCACATTTATTGAGCTGTTTATTGAATTGATCTAGGTCCCAGGCCCCTACTCTTCCTCTCCCACAGAGACTTGTTCATGAATCATTGAGGTCACCAGGGTAAGGGTTTGTTGGAGATCACCTGAACCCCACCAATGGCAGGGTGGGTACTTAGTGGCAAACAGCATAGGATCTTATGCAAAAGGGCACATACCCAAACAACTGGTACTCCCTCCAACCTTTAGAGTCTGCCCTGCTTTGGAAGTAAAATCCCTCAGTCATTGGCCCCTGGCCACATGTGGTACCGGCTACCCTTCCTGACTAGCCAGTGTTTGCTTGCTCACACTGCCATTCTCGACTTCAACCTGTGCTCACTTGCTCAATCTGGCATGTTTCATTTCAGCATCCCTATCCCACAGAGGATGAGAAGAGGCAGATTGCAGCCCAGACGAACCTCACCCTCTTACAAGTCAATAACTGGTGAGTTGATGTCACCTGCCAAGGGACCTCTTGCCCAGGCAGCAGAACAGCACAACTAGAGAGAGACTAGTTGGGGTCTACCTCCACAGCAATCAGAAATATTCTGACTCATCCTCAACCCTAGTCCCAACCTTAACCCAACCCAGCCCAGTCCCTAACCTTCTGTCTCCAGCCCCTGTACTGCTGCCATCCTAATCCTCCTGATGCAGCCCTGAAACCCAAAATAGCCATAAATCATTCCAGCCTCCAAAGCATCTATCTATAGCTCCTCAGCGCCCCTTGCTGGGCAAATGTAGCAGAAAATAAATCATCTGGGTTCTGCCTAAGAGGAAATTTAGCTCGACTGCCCTTCAGCACCAGAAATAGACAAAAGTAGTAGAATTAATTCTTGGTCCAGAGAGAACTTGAGGCCATATAGTCCATCCACCTGCTCTTAAGCAGTACTGGATTTAAATAAAGATACAGCAGCCTCCAGGAAACACAGGAGAATGAGTAGAAAAGAAAGTGATTTCTCTCTGGAGCTGATGGTACCAAGAACCCTAAGGCCCTGGCCATGCTGACCTTCTCTATCTCCTGGGCTGCGCCTAACCACAGAAAATGGAGCCCTGGAGTCATGGTCCTTGGAGCCCCACACCTATGGACAGAAGCCTGTTAAGGGAACCTGTGGGCAGCATTGTAGGCTGCCCTGTGTTCCCTGGGGCCAAAGGCTGTTTCAGTCTCTGTCTTGCCCAGGCATTCCCAGAGTCCTGATTCCAAACCAAAATATAACAAACAGGTACAGCCCGATACCCTTTTGGAGTTCCAAAGATCAGGTGGCACCCTAGGCTCTTTAAGAGAACTTGCTCTCCGTCATCAAACACCACACTTCTCTGGGCCTGAGTCTCTTCTTGGATTCAAATACTATTCTCCTTTTACCTCCCATTCCCCTCTGGCCTTCTAATGGAGCTGGCAACCATTCTCCCACTCTCCATATCCTAAATTGTGCTTACACATCTGTATATATTGTTTGTATATAGACACACACACACACATTAAATAACTGTGTTTTCACCTCTGCCGTGGGCAGGTTCATCAATGCCCGAAGGCGTATCCTGCAACCCATGCTTGATGCCAGCAACCCAGACCCTGCCCCCAAAGCCAAGAAGATCAAGTCTCAGCACCGGCCCACCCAAAGATTCTGGCCCAACTCAATTGCTGCCGGTGTGCTGCAGCAGCAGGGGGGGCCTCCAGGTACAAATCCTGATGGTAAGGAGCTGGGACCAAGTCCACGGAGGGATGTCCTGTTAAGGAGGGCTAGACGTTGGATGCTACAGACTATAATATGTAATTGTATGCCTGGTGGGAATTTTGATATGGAGACCTCAAAATATAGTCTGTTTGGTGAAAAGCATACTGGGTTCAAAGTTATGAAAGCTGGGCTCTGCTGTCTCCTTGTTACATATATCTAGATAAGTCACTTTGCCTCTGTGCTTTGCTTTCCTAATCTGTCAGATGAGTTTGTTGGAAGGAGCCAGTGAGAGAATGCAGGTGTACAACATCACTACAAAAGTTAAAGATACTTTGGGGGTCAGAAATTGCTGAGCACCCTCAGTGGCCAAGCTACTCTTTGGAAACTGTGGCTGTCTACAAATAGTGTGGCAGCTGGCTTATGAATGGGGACCAGAAAGAGCTTTGTTTTCCCAGTTACACCCATCATTCCCTTCATAGACACACACACACACACACACACACACACACACACACTCTCTCTCACACTCACACACAGAATTGTTCATCGCCTAATACACAATGAATAATTCAATGATCCAGAAATTTTATTGCTGACATACAAAGATGATTCTTTGCAGGAAACACCCTGTTTCCTGCAAAGGATGTGTCATGTGGCATTCACGTATGCCCCTATGTATGGTGTATGGTCCTCTTAAAAGGATGTATGTTAGATCAAGGCAGTATAGAATAGTGTAAGAACATTTACTGGTCTGAAGATTCCCTGACCTGATTCTAGTGTTGGCTTTGACACTAAATGTATGACCCTGGGCAATTCATTCAATTTCTACAAACCTCAATTTTTTCCACCTCAAAACTGGGAATAACAACACTGACCCTGCCTACTTTACAGGCTTATGGTGAGGAAGGCACTTTGTAAACCTTAAAATGCTATAGAAGTGTGTTGCTGCTGTTCTGCATTTGTGTGTGTGTGTGTGTGTATGTGTGTATGTGTGTATGTATATATATATATATATATATATATATATATATATACATATATACATATATATGTATGTGTGCATGTAAGTATATGTATAGGTATAGGTATAGGTATAGGTATAGGTGTATAGGATGATGGAATGAATGGACATTTTCCTGACCTTCTCCCTGCTGCTGTGGCTGACCTTTACCCTTTTCTCCAATCCCCCACAGGCTCTATCAACTTGGACAATCTGCAGTCCCTGTCCTCAGACAATGCCACCATGGCCATGCAGCAGGCAATGATGGCAGCACATGAAGATTCATTGGATGGGACGGAGGAAGAGGATGAAGATGAAATGGAGGAAGAGGAGGAGGAGGAGGAGCTGGAGGAGGAGACTGATGAGCTACAGACAACGAATGTCAGTGACCTGGGCTTGGAACACAGTGACTCTTTGGAGTAGCCAAGGGGGCTAGTTGGCGCTGATTCCCCCACTGGGGCAAGGGCATGGGGAGGGAAGGAACAGGTGGGCAGCCCCCTGCAGAAAGTGTGGTCCTCACCTCCCAGAATCAGCAGCCTGAGCAATTGCAGACAAGTTCCCCTGCCCCTGCCCAGCCAGCAAGCTTCAAAAAGATCCTAGCCCCCCTTCCCCAGAACTGTAGAGGACTCCATTTGGAAAATACCAGTCCAGCAAGCCAAGGGAGTGGACCTGGATGGAGCCTTGGCAATTGGGGGGCACTTACAGACTCCTTGACTGAAGTGAAGGACTCATGTTTACAGGCCCTGGACCCAGGGACTGCTTTGGGTTTTTTTTTTCTGTTCTCTCCCTGTGCAGTTTATGGGATGGGCCATTCCCAGAAAGGAATTGGGGAGGGGGGTGGTAACAGAGAGACTGAAGGGTATTTGGACTCTATACCAAGGATGTTTTGACTCCCCTGAGGTCAGGAGAGACCAATGGCATTAGCCCAAGGGGTTAGAATTGAGGGGAGGTGGGAGCTTAAATTGGAAATTACAAAGCATTCAACTCAGAATTGGACAGACAAATGGGATTTGGGATAGCTTCCCCCAGGGGTTCCATCCCTGTGTGAGTGCAGACTCTGGCCCAGGACTCACCCACTGGGGACTCACCTACTCTACTGAAAACAGCTGTATATAAGTAAAAGACAGGTTCAGATTATGGAAGGAAAAACAACATTTCCTTTGGCTTGGATTAGTTCTAGGACAACAGCAGTGAGCAAAACCCAGGCCAGGGTCCACAAGAAGATAAGAAGGTAGGGTACATGACCATTTCCACCTGGGCTCAGAAGACTGCAGATCCAACAGAAACATGGGGGTCTCAGATAACCACCTGGTGCTTAGTTGGTCAATTTCTTAAGTGCTCCAACTCTATATGGACCTGCATGGGGTGGGGTGAGCTTGATTTGGATTTTGTCCATACCCTCCACTCAGCCCAAGACATCGTTGGCTAGCTCACTGTAAGAAGGGCCCCCTCCATAGGCTGGCCCAACCTGATCAGGCTTGTCACCCTTACTTAACACCCCATGAAAGCAGAAGGATCTGTTTGAAGGAGGAGCCGGAGGCCAGAGAAGATGCTGTCTGTCCCCTCTTGTCTCCAGGCTTATTGAGAGATAAGAGAAAAGGGAGCCATAACCTTGCTCCTTCCACCTCCCCATACCTACCAAAAATATACGTCCCACTTGGAGATGCTGGGGCTCTCAGGAGGAGGACAGGTTCTGCTCACCTCCCCATTCTCTCCCCTGCTCCTCACACCCTCCCTCCTGGTCTCCAGGCCTGTGAGTGTGGCCCTCTCCTTCTCCTCCTTGTTACCCCCATGGCTGTGAATGGCAGAACTGAACATAACGTGTGTTTTCCATGGGATTTAATTTAATGGACTTGCAATTACATTTGTAAATTGTGCATTAGGACATCTTCAGCAGCAGGATGTGGGTGGCTGTGTTGTTGCTCAGCCTGAGGAGAACCTTGGGCCTTTAGCTTCCCCCACACATACACTTTTGGGGGGGGGCGGATTGGTAGGACGGTCAGTCACTTCCCTGAGACCGCCCTGAAATGAATGTATTTCTCCCCCAGAAGAGCTGATATTTAATGTTTTAATAGGGATTTTTGAAAAACAAATAACCTTATTTATAATCTGGGTGATCCAAACAATCTTTTTTTACTCCCTTTTGATGCCATAGGTAGAGAAAGTCTAGCTTTTTTGGAGTGAGACTTTTGCAATGTGCAGTGGGATAAAATACATTTCTTTTTCTGGTTCATATTCCTTGTTAAACACACACACCACACATACACACACACATACATACATACATACATACATACATACATACATACATACATACATACATACACATACCCTCCCATCAACAACATGACCCGACACTCCCACCCTTCTCTTACATACACATAGCCCCAACCCTGCCCCTCTTCCCACTCCCTGCCTAATGTTATGCAACCCTCTTCTGATGTATCCACCAAACAAATACTGGACATGAAGGCGGAGTTTTCAGTAAATCTTAATACCTATCTTAACCTTGTTGGCCAGCTTTGTTTGTCTACTGATGCTGCTCCCTCCCTTCCCACACATTGTGCCTTTTGAAATGAGGTAAAATTGGCAGGCCTTAGCCTAATGAGCGTTGAACATTGGGAGCTGGGGGTGTTTGGGGTGGGGTGGCAAGAAAGACCGGTCATATCGGGAAACTGTTGCCTGATGTGTCTATCAGTGAAAAGCATTTATTAATTGCTTACTATGAATTGGGCACTGGGGATACAAGGAGAGGCAAAAACCCCCTTCCTGAAGCCTAGCACTTTGTAGGTGCTTAATAAATGTGAGCTGACTAACTGACAAGAGGAAAGCCAGAGCAACAGGACGACTACCTTCCAACTCTTCATACTCCACCCCCAGCAATGGAAGTTTTTTCCTGAAAATCACTTCGCACACTTCCCCTTCCCCCCATGCTTCCTCAGCAATTGCAAAGTACCACCTACTCCGGGGACACAGTGGTACTTGCCCCTCTTTTTCTCCCTGAAATGAGCTAGGTGACTTTTTGTTGCTTGTCATGTAAATGAGGAGACTGCATCTCCCTGATTGTGACCCTATCTCATCTTTTCTCATCTTTTTCCAGAGAAAGACCCCAGGACACTCATGTGGGTGATTAGTACAAAGGGGCCGTTTCCTGTAAGCTGTGAGGAATAGTGGAAAGAGAATGTGTCTTAGAGCCAGGAGGCTTTTGAATCCCCAGCTAGTTGTGTGACCCCCTAGGCAAGTGTGACTTCACCTCCCTGAGACTCAGTTTCCCCCCTCTGTAAAATTAGAATAATAATACTTCCCCTACCTACCTCACAGGGATGTTGTGAAGACAGTATTTTATAAAGCCTTAAACACTGTAGAAGTGTGAGCTATTGTTATTCTGGGAGTAAGCAGAGGGACTGTGTGATAACAATGGAGAGAGTCCCTGTCATTCCTGATCTATCAGCATCATATTACTGGGGTAGGGGAAAAGGGCACCTTTTTTGGTCTCCACTGCCCTCTGCTCCTGAGATGGGAGTGGATTCCATCACAGGGGTACAAGGGGGAGGCAGATCAGTACCATACCAGAAATCTTTTACTTCATAGCCATGAATTCAAGATTTACAGGTGGTAATGTCAGTGAGATTGGGTGAGTTCATTGGAGATATACATACACACACACACACACACAGACACACACACACACACACACACACACACACACACACACACTCATGCAGTCTCTCCCTACATTACTATTAACACGGTGGAAGCCACTAGCTCGATATATTCAAGATGTTACCTTCCAAGTAGGACTGTGTTCAACTCAATTCAAGATGACAAATTTTTCTCATGTATCTACTGTGTGCAAGGCACTAGGCTTATAAAGATGTGACTCATCCTTTTCTCTCAAGGAGCTTATATTCTGAAGGGTACTAAGATGTACACAGACAACCATAAGAGAGTATAGGCTGCAGATTCCCTTTCCCTGATAGGGCAAAGGATATTTCCCGACAAAGTACCAGGAGGAATATGAGGAAGAAAAGATAGCTTTCTCCTGGGGGACGGGACGTTCAAGGGCAACTTCAGGGTAGAAGTGGTTCCTTAGTGTGTAGAACAGGGTATCTCAGCAAGAAGGTACCTCAGCTTGCTTTGTTCCCAAATTGTAGGGGGAGAGAAGGTGCCGTTTTCCTACAACAATCTCACAGGGCCTGGGATAGCCATGGCAGCCCAACCTACCCAACTCAAATGACTGTTCCTAGCAGTTGAATAGCAATAGCCCCCATGACTCCTGCCTATCACCCCACTTGGATGTTGCTAAATCAGGCCACCCCTTATCCCTACCCCTCATGCTTTTCTTTCAAGTCCTGATTTCTCCTCAGCACTTAGCAACCTATGGCTGGTGCCACGTGCACCTCACTCTGTATGAGAGTAATGATTTCCCTGTTCCCATCCATTGCTAGAAAAAAAGAAGACAAACAACATAGCGGCTAAGAAGCTGACTCCAGTGCATACACGTTTGTTAGTCATCAGTCACTTCACCTCCCTGAGACCTAGTCGGTAAAATGGAGAGCATAATATTCACACTACCTGCCTCAAAGGAAAGTATTTTGTGAACTTCAAAACTCTACAGAAATGCCAGTTGGCAAGCATTTATTGTCAGTCAATAAGCATTTATTAAGCAGCTACCATGCACCAGACACTGTGGGGATATGAAAAGAAGCAAAAGACAGCCCTTCCCTCAAAGAGCTCACAATCGAATGGAAATGTATTATTTGTAACTTGTATAGCACTCTAATAATGAAAGGCATCAGCATTACTACTACTATTGATGATGATGATGATGATGATGATGTTATAGTCCTATCTCTGGGAACTGGTGAAAACGACTTCTCCCCTCCCATCAGGGGAGACCTTATAGGCTTGAAATCCTCTTTTTCATAGAAGGTCTTGGAGAGATCATTACAGACCCTTCATCTCTGTGTGTGTTTTCTGCCTCTGCTGTGGTCAGGATCACCACAGTCAGCACTTCCATCTGAGCTAGACTCCTTTGCAATTGTTGATCCAGAACTTGCATTTCTAACATTGCTGCAATATCTACTCTCAGCTCTTCCTATAGAAGACGTTTCAGAAGCCTCCTTTTAGATTCCTGCTTTGATACTGTGCCTTCTTCACAGCTGTCACGTGGAGCCTAACCCACCCAAGATTAGCCCTCAGTGACTTTGCAGAGAGCCATAGGCCCAAGGCCAGCAGCCAGGCCTGGCAGGTCAATAGGAAAGAACTCTGTCTAGCTGCACCCTGGCTCCTCCCCTAACCTCCAAAGTATGTGCAGTGCCTGACACCCCTTTCCGGTGTGTGCCTCTAATCACACGCTGCTATTTTCAGTTTTCCCCTGGACCAATCTCATTCTGTTCCTTTGCAAATTCAATGCATCTCATTACTTTGAGCCCATTTAGGACAATGCCTTTCAGGTGTGTGCATCTCATTACAGCCTTTCTTTTTCAGACAAGTGTTTGATTTATTTTGCATCTCATTACATTCCCAGAAAATTATGTGCATCTCATTACACTTGGTCCACTCAGACAACTTATTTCAGGTGTCTGCATTACAGCCTGTATTATCAGGCAAGAATTGGATCTCATTACACCTAGACACTTAGGACAATTCCCTTCAGGTGTGCACCATCTCCTTACACCCTTTCCTTTTCAGACAAGTGTTGTGGCTTCTGGCATCTCATTATACTCCTGGAAAATTTTGTGCATCTCATTACACCCCAAGCCTAATTTGGACAACTCCCTTCAGGTGTGCATATCTCCGTTTTCACTTGTTATTTTTAAGCAAATCTGAATTTTTGCGTCCATTACAGCCCTTCCAAAATGATGTGCATTTTATCACAACCAGCCATTTCAGACAAAAATAGCATTAATATAGTACCTTAAGGGTTTATAATGTACTTTCCTTATAATAGTCTTATGAAGTAGATGATGAGAGTATTATTACACCCATTTTACAGATGAGTAAACAAGCTCAGAGAGTTTAAGTAACTGTCCAAGGTCACACAGTATCACTGCCCAGATATGATAATAGCTAAAATTTTGTATGGAGTTTTACATGTACTATCTTAATCCTAAAAACAATCTTGTGAAATAGGTATTATTATTATTATTTCTATTTTACATATGGAGAAATTGAGGCCAAATCATTGAATGAGTTGTCTAGGTTCATACAGCTAATAAGAACCTGTGAGTCCCCAGAGAGATGAAAGATTTGCTCAAAGTCACACACGTAGCAAAAAACAGCTAGAATTTGAACCTAGGTCCTTTGATTCCAAAACCTACACTCATACTCTACCTCACTAATTTTTCCAGGGCCTCAGAAACCATCCAGGTGGGTGTCTGCCAATTGTCTTAACTTTTTTTGCTAGGCAAAAAGTGACTTGCCCAGGGTCACACAGCTAGTAAGTGTTATGTGTCTGAGGCCAGATTTGAACTCAGTTCCTCCTGAATCCAGGGCTGGTGCTCTATCCACTGTGCTACCTAGCTGCCCCCAATTGCCTAACTCTTAAGACCTATTTTGGTCTTGTCTTCAGCCAAGAGGAGGCTGAATGTCATGGTTTGCTCAGTCTCAATGCTTGCCCTCATCCCACCGTTACTACCTGCTCACTCACTCTGGCATGGCACCTCTCAGATAGGTGCCCTTCATTGTGTCTCCAAAAGCCTAGCACTGTTTCCAGTATAAACACAGTACCTTTCAGGGATGTGCATGCAGGTTGGCTCTTTAGTTGGAAGCACTGGGCCAGGTCAGTGAGTTGCTTTGGACATCAGTCCATCAGTTTCTCAGGTCTTGCTGGGATGATACCCTTTTATTTAGACACCTTATATGTCCTCCCTCCCTAGGAGTGGGGTGAAGGGAGGGAACTCAGAGAAGCTATATTCCTGAGCAAATTTCTTAGTTCCAAACCTCTCCCTTTCCCATTGAATTATCACCTGCGGGAGGTGCTGGTGGTTTCCTAGACATTCCCTCTGACTTAACTCCTGAACTTCATAACTTCAAAAGACGCAAGTCTGTGATAGGTAGAGGGGGTAGGGATGGACACTCACCTCAGATGCACTAACTTTAGCTTATCACTTAGCTCTGTTGCAAATTTGCATGATGAGCTGAGGTTAGCTTTTGACTTCCTATTCTCCCAGGTCTGAGACCTCTTCCAGTTTTTATGGACCTTCCTTATCAGTGCCATGTTGTTCTCTTTTGTCCCTGTCCTCCCACACCTTCTCCTCTAAACCTGTTCTGGGGAAGAGATCTGGCCCTGGATTTGGAAGCAGAGAAACTGATTTCTAATTCCAGCTCTTCAGATTAATACTACCTGTGTATGGGTGAAGAGCTTAACTTCTCTGGGCCTGCTTCTTCATCTATAAAATGTGGCTATTGAACTAGATGATTGCTGAGCTCCCTTCTAGCTCTAAATCTGCGCTGATTCATACTAAAATGTGAATAACTGTTAAACCCCTGAGTATACCTATTC